AGCAGAAAGGAGGGGTTGTGTGTGTCTCCGACCCGCGTCCTCTAGGTCGCCAGCTGCAGCGCCGGGCAGGGAGAGCCCACGGGTCTGGTCGTGGCTACTGAGCCAGCCGCATCGATGTGAAGCCCATTATCACTGTCTCCATCAGGCAGGGAAGGGACTATTGCCATGTGCTGGGAATTGTTGAGTATTACGGTTGGGAAGAGCCTTCAGGGGGGCGGATGGCCCCGTGATGTCTTTCTAACCCTGCAATCCAGCCCCTGATGCTCAGGGTCCTCCAAAGCAGTTGCAGGGCAACAGGAGTGAGGCTGCGATTGCTGAAATCTGGGATCCAGGGGATAGCCACGGCAAACCAAAGCCTGCTGGCATCACACTGCTGTTGGGGTAAGCCCTGAGCAGCTGCCCTGTGACCTGGAGTTCATCACAGAGACCAAGCAGGGCACCCCAGTGAGCACCCGGGAAGGCAGCTGAGCAAAAACATTCCCTTGGCCACCTTGGAGGTGATGGGGGCAGGGCAGCAGAGGATGCATCCCTGAAGGGCAAACAACAAGAGAGTACATCACCCTTCCACTTACCCTGTAGCCAGACATCTGACAGACATCCGTAGCTCTGTCCTCAGACAGCTGGTGGGAATCCCAGTGTCCTCGTTTTTCCTCTATAAGAATAGACTGAGATCCTTGCCAAAGCAATGCTTACAGGCGAGCTGGTGGGCACATAGAATCACAGAATCGTTTAGGTTGGAAAGGACCTTTCAGATCATCATGTCCAACCATTAATGCAGCCCTGCCAAGCCCACCACTATACCACGTCCCCATGCACATTTCACATGCGTCCCTCCCCAGTAGGTTGCTTGGCCTGGCTGGATGTGTTGGGTCAGGGATGTCAGGTTTGTAACTGGGCACTGGTTGCCTTTGTGGCTTCAGGTGAGACACAGCTCACCTCTTCCAGGGAGATGGAGACAGAGCACGTCCAGGGGGATTAACTGATGTCTGGAAAATGGTATATTCATGCAACCTTCTGCAGCTTATTCTGCATATATCCAGGGCTGCTGGATGATTTTGCCTCTGACTTCCTTTCTCCTTGTGAGACACAAACCGCTCCTTTGTTTGCACCAACAATGAAGTGCACACTTGCCCGGGAAGGGTGGGCAGTGCCAGGGTGGGGGGCACCCGGTGCTGGCTGGGCAGGGTGGGGTTGTGCTGAGATGCAGCTTGTCCTTGCCAAGCTGCTCAGGATTTAGTCTCCTGCGGCCTGGGAGGAGGCAGAGATGCCCTCTAGGATGCTTCATCTCCCCTCCCCCCCAGCCTGCTTGGCCTCTCTGGGTACCTGCAGGCTTTGCCATCTCAGTGGTGTCCTCTGAAGGTGCAGCTGTGGACCTCGGTGGGGCTCTGAGCTGCTGGCAGGGGGCAGCAGGGGAAGAAATGGGGGGTGGGATCAGAAAAAACTCAGAGGTTCAGAGCTCAGAGCCCTCCTGTGTCAGTCTTTTCCAGGGAGGGCTGTGGGATGTTTCTGGTACAAAGCAAAGGAAAGATGGGCTTTACTGGGGGCAGGGTTGGTGGGAGGCAGGTGGGTAGAGCTGCTTTGTCAGAGGTGATGCTGGCAGATGAATGACGCTTCTACTGGCCTGGGCTCTTCCACCTGCCAGGTTTTGTGCATAGTGCTATTAATAATACTGAATAGTGATTAAAGTCAGGGTTTGACTCCACTCTGAGTCAGTTAGTGCTAAGTGCTGGTGTTAGGAACAGCATGAGGAGCTCGTTATCTCTTAAATCAGAGGGTCAAAGCCTTTTCCAGGACACCTGCAGTGGAAGTCATCATGTGTAGCAGTTGTAGCCAGGGCAGCCTCTGGTGAGACTGTGCCTGTCACACTCTTCTGATGGTTTTTGTGGAGAGGATTCATGTCCCTGGAAGACCCTTTTGTACCCCTGCTGTTGTTTATTATGCCGTGGGCTGGGCAAATCCCCCACAGTTTTGCAGAGCTCTGGTGCCTGCGTAGCTGAAGAGCATCATTGCTGTGTTTATCCAGCATAACCTGTGCCAGAGAGAGACAGTTAGATCCCTCCAGCTGTGACCAGTGGTTTCAGGGAGGCAGGAGGGTGCAGGTGCTGGAGGCAGGGCCAGCTGACAGGTCTGAAAGCCTGCAGGCAGCAAGCAGGCAGCTGCCTTTGTTCCTGAGGTACCAGGTTCAGGTGCTGCACTTCAGGAGCCATCTGAAAGTTGCTCCCTGTATGTTTTTTGCTCCTTTTTTTCCATGAGGAGCTCTCCCGTGACAGAGGGAAGGAGCAGGGTTGTGCTGAGGCTGAGCCATTGTGGTACAGTTACTGTGTCAGTGTCCCCCAGTCCCAGCCGAGGGCTGCTCATCTGCTTTTTGTTTTCTTCTGAGCCTGACCTAGATGCTGCTCTGGCTTCAGCACAGCCAGAGCAAGCTGGTGTGGCCATGCTGCCTGGGTCTGCTGGGAGTCGGCAGCTCTGGGCTGGCTCTGCTGCCCCTGCACCTGCTGCTGAGTGGGGCTCTGCTGCTGCATTTGGAGGGATAGGAGAAAAGGGAAGGCTGGGAAAGCCGAGGGCTTCAGGCTGTGAGGATGCTCAGCCTCCCATTGCCTAAACGGTGCAATCTGGTCTGTGACCTGCCTGTGCCTTTGTGTGCCCAGGAGCTGTCCCCAGTGTGACTGACAGCCTGGTGCTGGGCTGATGAATGCTGCTCTGGTGAAGATGGATTGCAGATGTTTGGTCCCTGCTGGCTGTGTCCATCTCAGAGGAGTAGTGCACAAGCAAGGCTTGTGCCCTGCAATTTTGGTCTTCCTTGGGTCTGGGGTAGCAGCACCTAACACTGCAATATTGGACAGAAGAAGAATGCAAGACCCTCTTCATCTGTTCTTAGTGCAGTTGGATCTGCTTTGGCAATATCCCCCTTTTTGAATTAAGCAAAAAAGCAGTGCCATTCCTCTGTGAATTTTCCAAGAGCCTGCTTTCGCCCTCTTTTTTTGTCTGATTCCTTCCAGGTCTTTCCTCCCTCGGCCTGCCTCTCATCCTCTGGGGTGTTTGTAATATTTGCTGACGTCTTTTCCCTAGCACATTAGTGGTCTGGCATCTCTGGGCCTTCCAGATTGCCGTGTGCCTCTCTGGAGATGCCTGATGAATGCACAGAGTCTCTCCGGCAGGATGGGTAGGCGGGGTGTCATGGAGCTGACATCCGGAGCCTACTGCGATGGGAGAGGGATGGCTTTGATCACTGCTCCTCGGAGATGCTGAGCCTCGGGGATGTGGCAGCTGCTGGGGCTGCCTTCCACCCGGGAGGATGGGGAGGAGAAGCCCAAGTGCATCTGCTTTCTTTGGGTTATTGCCTGTCTTCAGAAACCTGATCAAGAGAATTACAAATACTTGAGGGTGGGGGAATGCCATCCTCTGTCTGGTGCACTGCTGGCAGCGGCTTGACCACTTATTCCTTAGAGGCAGCCCATGTATGTGAGATGTGGCAGCTGTGCTGGGGATGG